TTATGAAATTGCAACGGCTTTATAAAAGAAATATCAGTATATACACAGGACTTGTGCATTTTTTCGTGATTTACCTCTTCAATATGAGCTATTCACCATCGTATTTACTGCCTGATATGAATAGTTTACTCCATAGTGAGCATCAAAGTGTGATTTCTGACACTTTGTCCCCACTGACCGCTGTACTCTCAAACAACTGAATGATGGTCAAAATGAATTTGGACCTTCACATACGAACACAGAGAATAAATTTCAGATGCAGCCCAGAACCAGGTCTACAGTACAGGCCACTGCTGTTTTTATGGCACTTCTTAACAACACAGAAAAACAGATGAAGTACTGACCACCATGCCGATGGTGTTCTGTTGTCCTCCAGGACCCATCTCCAGACAGTCGTCCACCACCAGGTTCATGAAGGGATCGAACCCTCGCAGGATTCCCTGGACATGCCGGCCTCCGTTCAGCTTCACTGAAAGGATGGAGAAGAAATCTCTGTCAGGAATCTTGTGAGTTACATTTACTCGCTTTGTTTCCTGCAGCTGGGACCGATGAGATTTTGATGCAGGTTTGGTTCCTCGCATGGCTTCATACAGACACAGTGAACAGCAGATCGTGTTCATTAGCAGGTGTCTGGTGTGGAAGGATTGACAATTTACTCCCAAGGTTTCTGCAGAGTTTAACACGTTAAATCTTAAACCTTTAAAGCCCTTCCTGATACCACACAGAATAACATTTAATACCCTTTTCATGCTCATACTGTTCAAAATGACAAAGATATCAATAAAACCCTGTAGGGATTATTGGGCCCGTTTACCATATCGACATATTACTGTCAACTCTTTTCAGCAGTAAAGCATTTTGAGTTGAACGGATTAGTTAATTAATCTTTCTTTCTATATAACTATTTAAAATAGAAATCATTTATCATACAAGTAAACATGGCAAACAGTTGAATGGTTCCAGCTTCTCACATGTGTGAAAATGAGTTTTTTTTAGACAAAATACAACAAAAAAAAAGACGGCTGTTGAAGTCAACTTTGAAAATGTGGTGATTTTCTTATTGCTTTTTTTTTTTAATGCCACATGCACAAAATGATTAACTGACAATGAAAACAATAATTCAGCTGCAGTTCTAACAATAACTCAAGGTGTTCGATGATACCAGTGGGATTAGCAGAGTAGCTGACTGATCGTTTCAGTTACTTTTCAAACAAATAAGTTAAACAGCTATAGGTGTGTAAACAGCAGCACTTGTTCTTTCTCTGTCATAACAGCGAAGTGCGTGACTTTCTGGTTTGGACTTTTGGTCAGATGAAAAAATGACACATTTACACATTAACTTGGTTCCTGTGGAGTTGTAACTGGCATGTTT